TATATATATATATATATATATAAATTAAATTATTCAGTAAGTATAATGAAAGACATATGGCAAAAATTACAATTAAATTATGCGTGAGATGAGAAACAGATTGGGAAATCCGATTGACTTGCGAACGACATATTTCTATGTTAGCGTAACTTTAAATCATATTCGCGTTGTTTAGAACACGTATTTTTCGCCAGAAATTCTGTACATCTGGAAAGCGACAAGGGACGATTCAACGCATCACCGCGCCGATTCGTTCGTCATCCGCAGACAGCATCGCGCATTCATATTCTGCGTCGTCGGAACGGCGCGATTAAAGCGCTCTCGTGGGATGCACGGATGCGTATCAGGATGACCCGTGTCGGTTTCGTGCACGCGCGTTACCTGTTGGACACGTTTTGTACGTCGCGCGTCGCGCATTTGCACGGCACTTCGCATTATTACGATGATGACTGCGCGGCTGGAACGCGCTGCAGAGTCGCGCGATATATGTGCGCGGGGGAGTCCAAGTACCATATATTATATAATGCAAACCGCGTGGATGCGTCGGACATAACGACACAAGGCACAGCTTGACAAATTTTCGTTTTATCTCAACCACGATGGCCCAAATCATCGCTCGCCCGCGGTATCTTGCAATAGCCTACCGCCGTTTCCAGTACATTTCAAATTTACTATCCTGCAGGCACTTAACTCTTTTGGTTCGTCGAACGGCCACGAACGTACATTACGACCCACCGATCATGCTCGACACTCCTTCTTAAAGTACGACCTGCACGGTAAATCGGTCGGAAGATTTGAGTAGAACGACTTTCGACGGTGGAACGCGATAAAAACTTGCAGAACAAAAATGACACTAAAAATAACTGCAAGCAGAGCTTCGACGTTGCATTGAGAGATATAAAAAAGTAAGAATCAAATTGCAATTGCAAGGTCGTAATTTGTAATCCCCACAAATTCGGAAAGTGGAGAAAGAAAACAAGGGGAGGACCGAAAGCCATTTTCCCTTCCTCGATCCCAAGTGGAATCCCGGTTAATTTTAGAAAACTCTCAACTCGTACATCCGATCTGCCGCGGCGAACAAATGGAACGACAGAGCGGAGTGCGGGCGAGAAAGCGCGAGATCAAAAAGTCTTTTCCGATTAAGTTTGGTAGCGTGGCGAACGAACGAAGTAATCGATCGACGTACCGTACATACGCACCGCATCCGTTTCGAGTTTCGCGGCCGGTAGCCGCGGGATTACACGTCATAAAGGCAGCGCCAAGTACATAACGAAGTTACAACGCGCTACGAAACTCGAAATTAGTTTCGGGAGCGTGCAGCTCGACGTCGCTCAAATTGACAGAGAGTGTCCGATGGCGCGTGTAACAATTCCGCGGATATACATCTCACAATTTGCCGCGTGGCCCGACGCTGAAGGGCTTTGGAAATTTTTTCATCCTATTTTTTTTATCCTATTCCTCAATTTGCAATTCTTTTTTCTTCATAATATTTTCATCATCCACGGTATTCGGAATAAAGTTCGCCAATTGATTCACGGGCTTAACGACAAGCATATCGAACATCATTATTCACTTTAATACTTATTGCGGATACCTAACGAAAAGATCGCTACTATCTGCGCCACGATTACTCGCTGCCTGCGGCGAATCGAAGTAAACGAAGCAACGCGATCGAATAAATGTTATCTCATTAAATCGAGGCGATCGCTAACCCATTTTGGTTGTATCTGGTCAATAACGGTGGTGCAGCTGCAGTGGCTGCACCTGTAATTTAATTTTATTGAAAGATACGGGCAATCTTTAATCGCATCCAAACGATTCGTCGGCAGAGGACAGCCTCCGAACGTCCTTTTTCCGCTGTTCTTTTCTTAGACATTTCCTCTACAGAGAAATTTAATTAGAAAGCTCTGAGAGAATTACAATTGAGATCTCGAATAAGACTCTAGAAAATTCTGTATATGCCTAAGTAAAATGTGTACAAATAGCAAAGCCTTTTACTTTGATAAGTTATACTTTTAGTAAATGAATTCTCGATATAAAAAGCACGATATAAAACGGTCATTTTTTAGAAGCTATCTTTACGTTGGAATAAAATCGACACGTCTCTTCGCACGTCCGTGAGGAATTCCGCGCTCAAGTCGCGTTTCCTTTGATCAATTCGCTCGAGCGGCGCTCGAGAGATTTCCGGTCGAGTTTAAATTCGCGAGTGTCCGTATTCGCTAGGAGGAGACGGCTCGAGTGGCCCCCGGATGCACACCAAGTGCACTTCACCCATCGGCAGCCATTCGCACCCCAAGTCGCGCCAAAAAACTTTTCCAGGCTGGCGAACTCCTGGATAGCGAGAGAAAGAGGAGAGCGAGTACAGGGACGAGGGAAAGAGAAAGAAGGGGAGAGGGAAGAGGGAAGAGAGATTTCAAACATTCTTCGAGATCACGACTGGCAACACTCGAGTCGATTTTCTTCCCTAGAAAAATTCGAAAATCATCACGTATTCTACTCGGAATTTGCTCGATACCCCCGGAATATGGAAAACGTGTATGACGAGAATAAAAACATGCGGGAAGCTCAGCTGCGCTTACAGAACTTATTTCTCCAATACAATATGTGGAATCTTCAAAATCGAACAAATGTGTAGTATTTTACTAACATCGTTCTACGTCTGTAAATCTAGTACCCTTACCATTAAAAAAATTTCAAATATTTGCTATAATTAAGTGCTAGTTTATTATTATTACAATTTCAAATTTGATGTTCCTACCTGTTTACATAAAATAATAGAAGTAGATGAAATGCTGACTTCACATTACACTAGCACTCCCATTTCCAAAAAACACGTATAGAATATTGCAAAAAAAAATAGGTATATCAAAATTTTTTGCTCAAAAACAGTGCAAAGAAATATCGAAAATTTTGAATAATTACGGATGTATCGCCATACTTTTGGATTTTTATTTAAACTACGATCAACGAATTCGAAACTGGGATGTTTTAAGTTTTAGAGCAATTAAGTCTAGAATCGTTTTAAAATCGAAATTTATAGCACCGCGTCTAATTTATTTAATATCTATACTTTATTTTTGCAATCATATGCGTTTTCGATAATTTTTAAACTGTTTCGTGAGCAATAAGTTCCAAAGTAACTACTTCGCGAGTTCGAGTAACAATTTAGGAAAATATAGTTGGATATATTAGATATATTATATGGTTAGGTTCTTATTTTTTGTCGTTTTATTCTTATCAATATTGGTGTATCAATAATTATTAAAAATTTTTGATGTTTCTTTACACGATCTTAAAGCAAAAAATTTTTATACACCTGTTTTTTTGTTTACAGTATTCTATACATGTTTTTGGGAAGTGAAGGTGCTAGGGTAATGTGAAGTCAGCACCTCCATTTTTTATATTTATTTCCTGTAAACGGATAAGAACAATACATTCGGGATTAGGGTAATAAATCAGCAATAAATTAACACTTAATTATGGCGTATATTCGAACTTTCTTTTTAATGGTAGGGATTCTAGGTTCATAGACGTTTATCTTTATAGTATTTATTTATACATATTAGAAACGTTGACAGAGAAAGAAAGATTTAAAAGAATATAAGCTTAATTATAATAAAGATAACAATTAAAAATAGAAAATCTTTGTTGAATGTTAACTTTCACTTTAAATTTTCTTGATGCTAACTTTCACTTTAAATTTTCTTGATTTGAGAAAGAAAAACAAATTTTCATTGTCAAAAATAACTTTATGAAAGAAGTGAATTTACTTGAAGATACGATGACATTTGGTATAGCTAAATATTTTGAATGACTTTCACTAAATAAAGCATTGAAGAAGCTCTCGGCTGAATTATGTGCGACTAGTCGAGCGGAAACCGACGTCCAGTCGCGGTATGACATATATTATATTAGTTGAACGGAACTATAGTTAAACGTTAATCTACCGGCTAATTTCGCTGCGTGCGGGCGGCAACTTCGTCACGTCGCATCCGTCACTTGATAGTCCCGGGGGGTACGGCGGTATAATCTTGACGCCATTGTACCAAAAGCTGATAGAACACGAGCCGCGGACAGGGTATATCCGGCTTATATCGGGCTGATAACACGCCCACGCCGCGCCGCGGCACTGGCACCAACGGCGTATGTGAAATGCGTTCGCGTTAGCTCCAGATGCAGAGGCGAGTAATCTCCGATGCGGAAGCCGAGCAAGCTCAGAACAAAACAGTCGACGTATCGCCGTGACGGACGCGACGAAAATAGGAGGGACGGGATTTTAGCAAACGCAGACACGCGCGGAGCGAGTTATCGAGTGACATCGCGACTGTACCATTGACGTCGCACCCAGCGCGGGGGAAACCAGCTGTTTGTTGTATAAAAGTTAGTTTCAGGTCGAATCAGATTTTTTGAGATTTTTCGAGAACATGGTATGACACCGCGAAGGCAGAAAAAGAGAAATATTGGCTGCAAGAAGAATCGAGAGGAATAAATCGCCAGCGCTATATCTAGTGACGCTTTATCCCGCGCAACAATGGCGCGAGAAATCTTCGAAGAGCGACGCACCAGTTTCAATAAATAATGACCGCCGTCCCTTCCCACCCCCCCCCCCAGTCCTCGTGAGAAAGAACTTTTTAGGCGTGCCGGTATTTCGCAAAACGATTCCAAGCTCTTCGATTCAACGAGAGACCGTTTCAATTAAATCCAATTCAATTAAATCGATTTTGACATTTTTCACATAGCAATTCTGCAAAAGTTTCAGGGACAAAAGATCAAAGAGAAAAAGAAGTATTTTTCAATGCGCTGTAAATAAGGACTATATAACGATTGAATGTCCATAAAAAAACAAGCTCTGCTATTTATATTAAACGTTAATCATAACATGATTGAAATGTAGATGAATGATTTTAATATTTTAGATACAATCGAGTTTTTTGCTATATATAGAGAATGTAACAGCGATAAGACAAAGTATAAGATAATATACATATTTCTCTCTCAGATATACATATATTTTCAAATAAAAGATATTAGCTACCTGTATATAATAATTTTAACGTGCAGTTAAAATCATATATTAAAATCGCTAAAGGAGATTGCAAAATTATTAACGATTAACGTAAATCAACTTTAAAACACTTTTACAATAATCATAATAAATTGATCGTTATTGTAAACGTAAAACGGTCGAGGTTATCGCCGGCATAACGATCGTAACAATTCAGATTCGTAATTCAGATTACGAATCCCTTAGTAAAATTCTAATAAAACGATGCACATATTCTGTTTCCATCGCTTGACTTTCATCAATCAGCGTGAGCTAACAGAGAATCCCCGAGTACCTTGAGTCTTATTTAATCGCTAAATCATTTGTGTACTTTGGTAACTGCTGTACAAGTTGATCGATTGATAACTGCTGGCTCGAGTTAATCGATCTTCCATCGATGTGGTCATAAAGATGTGTCGCGACGCGTATTATTTCAAGCGCAAGAAAATTAATAAGCAAAGCAAACAGGATGACTTACCTAGCAGCGCCTGGAAGAGTCTGCTCTTGAAGATACGTATGACGCGCTCGATGGCTAATCGCAGCTGCTTGTCTTGCGGTCTCGTCAGCTTAGCATGGTAATCCTCGAGGAGCTCCAGAGCTCGGTGAGCTTCTAAACACACGGGAAAGACAGATGGATAATTAGAAGGGAGTCGATAGGGCGATTTCCGTTAACAATATACATATATAAATATGATTTCGTCGCCATTCGTCAAATTTGATCAACTAAACTGCGCGTTTCCATTTCATTGTTTATTGAACACTTTGTCGTCACTTCGCCATTAGCTATTTCCTTCATTATCGCCACCGTCGGCACACTGCTATTTATACCGCTAATTGATTAACCATATTTGTGAAGCAGTACAAATCCGATGTAATTGAATGTAATTTGATGCAATCGGTACCTCCCTTCAGAGTCCTCGTTTTCACACGTTTCATTAATTAAGCATCTGCCAGTGCGTATTAATTAGTAGAGTGTGTATTATCGATATTACACTTTCCACGTGTCTAACTCCGCGGGCTTTTAAATTACGTAATAACCAGAAATTTCAACATAAAATTCGAAAGCTCGCGACGCGCGAGCGATGATCCGAGAAATTGAAAACAGGATCGGGTTGCGTGTATGAAGGCGAGAGAAAATGGCATTTAATCCTCGAGCGAAAGGAATTAAAATAACATGATAGAACCGCAATGATTAATCAATTTGGATCAAAATGCTCGTTCCACACAAAGCATTATCTGAGTTTCAAGTATCTCAAAAATATACAAATAAATATAACAATATTAATGCTACACGCTGAGAGTTTATTATTGTACGCCTTTGTATGCATTTTCTTGTTTAAGCGTGACCGTAATGTTTAATATTTAATCTCCTAAATAGAAATTCTCTGACTCGATATTACGTATTTTTGACGTATATAACATACTATATTGTATATGTATAACAGAGTATATTGGAAAACGGCGGCACCGATATTGCACCTAGTAAAACGAAAATTTCTCAGCTACGCGCCATATATCTTTCCCCACGCACGAAGATCGTATTCAACCTATTTTCGCCATTTTCTTCTTCCTGCTAGCCATCATAAACACCGTCCCCTTCAGCCCCCCGCCCCTTGCCGATGTAAGAGAGAACGAGAATACGAAGCCATTTGGAAGGTGAAACGACTCGAGAATCTCGTGCAACGGTGAGTGCAAGTCAAGAACAAATAACGGCAATTGCATCAGTTTCATGGCAACGTCGCCGATGCAACAGTCTCTTCTTTGCTTTGCCGATCTTCATCCCTTTCCTTCCTGCGTATGTGGAAAGTGCTCTTATTGTGCACGATATAATTACTGGATCATTGATATGTTTGTACAGATATCGTCGTGACTGAAGATAATGTGAATAATTTAATAAATTATTAGATAAATTCACAATTGTAACTAAAAATACATCCGCAAAAACTTAAAAACAAGCTGAATTTTGCTCATGAATTAATCGCAATGTGCATTATATAAAACTTCATTTTCCTTCTATAAAAAAAAAAAATAAAATTCACCTTTTACAGATATTAGAAAAGTATTCGACCTCTTTTATTAAACGCAAACTTTAAAATATCAGAGAATTATTTGTGATATATTCGATTCTATTAAACGAAAATAAAAAATCAATTAAATAGATAAAAAAGAAATAAATTTAGTTTCTGAGAGAAATTATAGAAATCGGAATTGATAACAAGAAATCACCTCAAATAAATTTATGGAGATGAATTGCGAATCTGCAGATAGTAAAAATACCAATGACCTCATCGTTTGTACAATTAGCATTATCATAGCGATTGCACACTTGTTGATTCGCGTTATCGTTCGTAAGAACCATCGGGATTTCCACAGGATGAATTTCATATCTATCGGACTATTCGGACCCTTTACGCTCGGGAAACGGATATTCCGTCAACAAGAGAGCTCGCAAACAAGCATATCCAATCGGATGATAATAAATGCGTCTTTACTTTCTCATGATTTTTCACTTTGTGAACCATCCGTAATCCATTTTACGATGAACACATCAAACTCTGTCGATAGATGCTTTTTTTACATTAAAAAAATTTTGTTGTAATAACAAAGAGACAGAGAGAGAGAGAGAGAGAAAGAGAGAGAGAGAGAGAGAGAGAGAGAGGGAGAGAGAGAAGGAGAAAAGAAGGAGAGGAAAGAAGGAGGACAATGCAATATGTATTATATGTATATCTAGTTGTTCTACTTTGCGTGTCATTTTATTAAAATTCAAAAAAATATACAACTTTATTAATACACCAAAATTGTTTTATAGCGATATGCAACTTTTTCCATTTTTTCTAATGCAATATAAGTGGCAATATAACAATAATATAAAAAATATATATCACACTGTTATCTTAAATTCTTAATCATGTCAATGCGTTTTACACCTTTGAAGAAAGTATCAAAACTTGTTTTAAAAGGCAAAAGAATGAGTTTATTTGTCGTGATAGAATCTGAGAAAACATAAAACAAAATGATGCTTCGATTTCTACTTTACACATTCGCTCGTATATGCGCATGTTCGTTCGTAACGACTGCATTCCTAGAGACTCTCTCTTTCTCGTTGTTACCTTATACATCCATAAAGATTTATCGTAAAATACCGGCAACAGTCAGAGTTTTTTCGGAGCATAATTCTCGAAATACGTGTGAAAAATATCCGTCCAGGATATCGATTGATGCGTATTTTAACATAAACTATTTTTCGCAAATTTCAATATTTACATTCGCGAAAAGATAGGAAAAGTGCGCCGAAAATGTTCTATATAAAATTACTTAATGCTACGGTCTGCGCGCAAAATGGGGAGAAAGCAAAAGGCGATGAAACCCGCATTCAGTTAATGATATTACAAGAAAGTACCATTGGCGCAATGCCGTCGCGAAAAATTCACCGTTTTGCACCAAGAGAGCTTTCAAGCCTGAAGTACTCGGCAATCGATTACACGAAAGAAACGAGGCACGCGTCCGGTCTCATTTGTGCATGCTTTCGCGTGCGGAGGGAGTGCAGATCCGCAAGATCGGATGCAAGCGCGGGAAGGACGGGAGAACGAAAGGAAGGGAAATTTCTCGGCCCCTAATAACACGGCAATGGGCACGTCATCCACCTTCACGAGAACGACAGCGAAACTATGCCAAGTATGGCCGTTCATCCCGGCTTTATGGTTCATCCGGCTGCACGTCGCGCTTCGTGAATTATAACGCCGTATCTCCTTCACGAGACGCGTCGCCGCGCTCGATTTTCACGAGCACGAGGCGAACGAATGAGCTCGTCACGGTCGTGAGAGAACCGTGTTCGCCAAGTCTCTTATAGTCCCCATGGTCCCGGACTTGCATCAAGAAAGGGATACATTTTTCCCTCAGCGTTCGTCGAGTTGATCCCGTCACGTCGCGGGAGACGAGCACGACACGAAAGACGACGTGTAGTGACTGCAATTATTATTTGTACATTTGATACCGGATAAATATTATCCTGCAAACTTTTTCCTTGCGAAAAAATAGCGAATAGAATTATTAAATGCACAGTAATCTTAAGAGGGCGGGGAGATATATTTTAAAAATCTTTTCCTTAACCCTAGGTATGCACACTGTTTTTTTGACGACGTTGTATACACACTGGAGTCCCGGAGACCCCATCCATATTTATTATTGTAACTCTAGTAAAAATGGACATATTTCAATTAATTTTTTTTCAGTCGATAGAGAATCGACCAAGGAACAAGCCCATAATGTCTAAAAGTCGATAGAATTAAGGAGCTCCAAGATATACGGATATATTTAAATAAAAAACGACATATTCAAAAAAAAGGAAAGTTCAAAAACGCAAAAATATCTCGATTTAGCACCTTTTTCAAAAAATCATATCTCTTTTGTTTATAGACCGATTTAAAAAATCCTTGAAAATTCTGAAAGGGCATACTTGAAAAAGTAACAAAAAAATTTGGCGATCCGATATTTTAATTTTTTAACAAAACTGCAAGCCCGGGGATTCCACGCTCACTTCAACTGTTCACTGCTCGGTTGTTGAGCGACAATTGTCGCGCGTCAAAACACGTCTTCCTACTGAGAAGATCCCAAACTTTTTTTACGTCAATATCCCAAACCCCTCCCCTTCCAATTTCAGAAATGCCATACCGAGAAAGTTTCGCTGGGGTCTCGGAAACCCCAGTGTGTATATCTAGGGTTAAGTAAGCTTAATTATAATTTTTTGTATTTCTTGTCTCAAAATATAAGGCAACTGTTTTAGAGAGTCACTATAGTGGCTCTCCCGTCCTGTAAAGGTTAAGGATTAAATCGATGCGAGTTCTTTATTGTAAAACAAACAACATCTATTCGCGTTTAAACGATGTATCTGAACTCTTAATACTTGCTCAAATGACGAGTTACTTAACTGTGTATGCATACGAATTTCATGTCATAATTCAGAATTATATAGGCCGTGTCTAATCTAGTTTACGTTTCAAAGTCCGATCTCTTCTCTCACCGCGGCAATGGGCGTCGGAAGGGCGACACACCGTTATTTTCGTCTTTCATTACGCGTGCCGCTGACATAGTTTCGCACGCAATAATTAAAGGGAGTCCCCTCTGCGTTCGTCTAATTAAAGCGCGGTAATTATTGAAGTGAATTACGAGCAGTCTCCTTCGTGTAACGACGCAGGACAAGTCGTTGACGAAGTCGCAGCAATATTATTTCGTGTAGCAGCTACATCAAGGCAAATATTAGGCGGAAACATCAAATTTACACGTTATCTTGAAATTTGAAGGATCCCAATGAGCATCGAATTCTTTTTTTTTACAGAACTGATACACGCACATGTGTATGTAAATCGACATTCGCATTTACATACGAACGTCGACAACTCTTCAACGCAATTTTATATAGCAGTAAATTCAGAATTCATCATCCTGGCAGGAAAAACGAACTATCGACAAACTGTCGAGCAAGGGCGTGGGCTAGGAAATCTCGGCTACATACACCGCACCTGATGCACACGTGCACACGTAGAGCCCGTTGAGATCCCACAGACAATTTCGATCGCGCTTATAATTTACACGATAACGTCACGTTCACAT